GAGGGGTCCCCCGCTCTTTTTTACCAACACAAAAGAAAATCTTTTATTTGGGGCCCCTCACTCTCCCTCCCCCATTTCCGGAGAACTGTTTTTTTATTATAATTGCCCTGCGGCAAAGGCCCAGGATTTTCCGAATAAATTTCTGGCAAGACAAAAAGGCCTGGGGGCCGCCTTTGCCCTGCCCCCCGGCTCTTAGCTCCCCCCTGGGTTTCCGATCACGGTCAGTGCCAGGGGGCTTCTTCGGTGCTTTCCCTTTTGCCTCCCTGCATTGTGCCTACATATGCAAATTAACCGCCATCTTTGTTGACAGTTAACCGCCATCTTGGCTGGTGATTAATTTGCATATCTCGCTAATTAGCCAATGGGAAGGGTAGCGGTCGTACGCCAATTACCATGTTTCTCTTTTATTAGTGTAGATAGTACTGGGAGTACTAGCCATAGCAATGAGACAAGAAAAAGAAATAAAAGGCATCCAACCTGGAAAGGAAGAAGTAAAACTGTCATTTGCAAGTGACAAGATACTGTATATAGAGAGCCCTAAAGATTCCACCAAAAAACTACTAGAATAAATAAATTCAGTAAAGTACCAGGATACAAAACTAATATTCAGAAATTGGTTGCATTTTTAAATGTTTTTATGGATTTTAGAGAGAGGAAGGGGGGGGAGGGAGAGAGAGAAACATCAATGATGACAGAGAATCATTGATTGGCTGCCTCCTGCATATCCCCTACTGGGGATACAATCAGCATGTGCCCTGACTGGGAATCGAACTGAAACCTCCTGGTTCATAGGTCAACACTCAACCACTGAGCCACACCGGTCAGGCCAGTTGCATTTTTATACACCAATAACAAACTGTCAGAAAGAGAAATCAAGAAAACATTCCCTAAATTCAATAAAAACTTAAAAAATAAAAGAAGAAAATAAAAGAAAAAATAAAACAATCCCACTTACAATTGCGCCAAAAAACCTAGGGATAAATTTAACCAAGATGGTAAAAGACAGTACTTAGAAAATTGTAAGAAACTGAAGAAACTGAAAACTTTTATTGATGTTTTTTTCTTTTTTAGAGAGAGGAAGGAAGAGGGAAAGAGTGAAATATCAATGTGAGAGAGGGAAGCATCAATAGGCTACCTCCTACAAGCCCACAACCATGGCTTGTGCCCTGGCCAGGAATCAAACCAGCAACCTTTCAGTGCATGGGACGACACTCAACCAAGTGGGTCACACCAACCAGGGCAGAAATTGAAGATTTAACTAAATAGAAACACATACCTTGCTCATGGTTGGGAAGAATTAACATCATTAAAATGTCCATAATAGCCAAAGTAATCTATAGGTTCAATGTAATCTCTATCAAAATATCAATGGCATTTTTCACAGATATAGAACAAAAAAATTCTAAAAGTTATATGGAAATTCAAAAGGACTCTAATAGCCAAAGCAGTCTTTTAGATATATATATAATATACATACATTATATTTTTATTTCAGAGAGGAAGGAAGAGGGATAGAAATATCAATGATGAGAATCATTGATTGGCTGCCTCCTGCACGCCCTATACTGGGGATCAAGCCCATAACCCAGATACATGCCCTGACCAGAATCCAACCCTGACCTCCTGATCATAGTGGATGCTACACTGATCACACGTCAGTATATCTCAACATTACTGGAC